AAGCACTTTTATGCGCACTTCTATTGGATATGTGGGCTGCGATGAGAGCACCACAAGGTCATAATGGCTTCGCATACCCTCGCGATCTAGAACCACATTTGTCTTAACTTCGCCCGTTATCTGGTCCAGTGTAAACTCTCGCGGTGGCTCATTAAATCGATAGGTGAATTTCGGCTTTGTCGGTATAAAACCGACAAGCGTACCGCGTGGCTGCCCCTCGAGCACTTCGAAATCGGCGCTAGTATCGACAGCGCGGGACTGCATTTCTCCCGCTGGCGAGGAGCTGCGGCGTCTTGGAAACGCGGCATATTGTTCATATGTTGTGGCATAGCTACGTCCACGAGGCGCTGGCAACTGTAGTGTGGATGCAGCCTCCGAGGCTTGGAGTAACACAAAAGTAGTTAGCACGATCAGGTGCAAAATATTCCCCCTTCGTTTACCGTGGACAGAGAGGAGCGAGTGCATCTTCTCTGTGAACCTGAAAAGGCTGGATGGAATTCGCAGATTGTCATCCATGTAACATGTATGTTCACTTTTTATTGTTTTCATTAGCAACGTGCTTTTGATATTTTACTGGTGTGCTATTTGGGTAAAGCTCAAAACACGTCATTTTCCAGATAGTTTTGGATATTTATAATCACCTGGAAAGTACAAAAAAAGTCCAAATTACAATCGGAAAACTTTTTAATTGCAATAAAACTAGTCGTAAATAGAATTAAAATCAGCAGACAGTTTCTATTTGGAATATCGCATTTACCACCATTGCGAGTATAAATTATATATAACCAAAGCGAACTTAACTAGTTAATCATGCTTTCATGGCAACACTTTCAGCTAACAATTTCGTGCCTCTACGACCGCTGAGCATCTTAACACTTTCATACTTCGTCAAGCATAAAAATACTACTTTGCTTTTATGATTTTCTGAAAAAGGGGAGAAGGTGCATAGTATGGAATATGCATATGGAAGGCAGCATTTGCTATTTGCTCACATACAAAAGCTTCTATTTTTTATAATCAGTGCAATTCTAATTTGAACAATTTTGACACCATTTATACAAAAAAGAACAAAAGGGGAAGGGCTTCTGTTTCTCAACTAACTAGCAACACTTTTGCTAGCATTCTTTTGGTTTTCATACGGGATATATCTATGCATATATATATATATATATATATCTATATATATTTGTTTCAACCTTTGTTCACTCAAGCAATGGAATCCATCGTAAATTTGTTACCCCTGATTTGTTGTTGTTGTCTAAATCTTTGGAGCCGAGCCCGTTCATTAATCTTTAAACCCCAATCAATGGGAATGGTTGGCTTTGTTCTGTCTTGTTTTTTTTTCTTTTGTTTAATATCAAAATATTTAAGTGATTTGAATAATATACATGCATACTTATATACATAAGTAATGGATTTATATACTTAACTTGTTCCAGATACTGAAATATTAGGATGTAACTCTTGCTTCCAATTGATACACCTAGGTATATGTTTATAGATAGTTATGCGGGCTATTTTGAAGAGCTCATAAATACCATATCTGTACAAGATTCAACTTTACATTTGCAATGCAAATTATAACAAAAGAGCAAAGCATAGACAGAACCTGGGTAACAGACTACCAAGCCGCCGGCCATATGGCCAAAACTAAAAATTCGTAAGGAATAATAATCTTAGCCACGATAGCCAACTGGAATCAATGCGCGTCGCTATGAGGCGCCTACAAGTTGGGATACTCATACACAAGCGCTCACACACACACACACACACACCCATTAAAGTATGGTCTTTATTTTTATGACTTTTTTCTTTCTTCGTGCTTTTCACTTTATTACTTCGGTTGGCTAGCTAGCAAACTCTGATGAAGGAAAACGTGTTTTTCATATTTCCATATTCATTTACATTTCGCTTTTGAGCAGTGCGCATGCCGATACCTGCCATAAATGATTTCTTCTTGGACACAATGAGCAAAGATTATTTATTTAGAAGAATAGGTATTATTTTTTTTCCCTTTTCATGGGATGATTATTTTTTTTTAAAACATTCTTCAAAGCTCTGCCAATACAATTTGGGCTCTTACGTGACAGTTACAAGCGCTAGCGTTTCAAGCTCCACTCAATTTAGTGTCCCAGCCTGCGACAACAAAAGACGTCAACCTTTACAACAAAAACTGCCCACGTTGCCGTTGATTTATAAAAAATTGAACAATTAATCTTGTTTGAGTTTGTTGCGTCGAGTTCGTTTTGCTGCCTATTCCCTGAGCTTTTATTTATTTCTTTTTCTTCTATTCACATCGCAAATACATGACTTATAACTCCCTTTTGAGCCTCGATTCATATTTTAAATTATATACTTTAGCAATTGCATATTTCAAAATATCCTTTATATGTTTTTAAACTTTTCAGTTCGTTTTGCTGCCTATTCCCTGGGCTTTTATTTCTTTCTTTTTCTTCTATTCACATCGGAGATACATGACTTATAACTCCCTTTTGAGCCTCGATTCATATTTTAAATGATATACTAAAGCAATTGCATATGTTATGAATATCATATATGAGTACTTTAACTTTTCATAGATTATAAATACGTACCACTTTTGTTCACATTTTAAAATGAGTTTTGTGATAGCCTTGTTGATGTTAGTTGATCTGGTATACATATAGTATAAATACGACACGCGCACACACGAAAACACAAATGCAACATCGTCCGTGGCCACAGACGCAGCATATTTTTTTTTCAGCAAAACGTGTTTTGCTTCATTTCAGCTCTTGTATTTGCTGCAGTGCGGGCTGCAACGTTGTTGGAATTTTTTCACTTATAAAAAAATACAACGACAACAGACACACACACTCACACCACTCACACACTCATGCACAGCTCAGAGAGCGAGGTATCCACACTTAATTTACCAACTGCGTTGGATCCGATTTTATTATTATTTCTATGTGCTTATATTTCGATGTATACCATACATATATAATTATAAAGCATCGGTTAGATGTTTCACATGGGTAATGGGTAACTGTATTTGTGTGACCGAACGAAACCTGAGCATCCGTCGCACCTTCACTTTTGTCTAGCGTTATACGCGCACACGTTCCCAACTGAAATCGGCCAACTGCCACTCGCTCTGTGGTCGCAACGTAACTAACTGACTGGCGAGAGCCACAGCGAGCAGAACTTGCGCGCAGGCACCACAAAATTATGAACATAGCGGCCAGCCAGGCTTCGAAAAGCGGCTTGACAGGTTTAAGCCGAGAGATTCAGACGGAAAAGACGGAAACAGAGAGAGGCAGAGCGCGGCTCTCCCGCTCGTCATAAACGTACCAAATGTGGTAGCTTGTTTTATTGTTGTTGCACCGCCTGCACGCCCCTCCTGGCTGACTCTTTTACCTGTTGCCTCTCGTGCACGGGCACAGCATAGACAGGCAGTGCTAGCAGCGAAGCCGCCGTCGCCTTGCCGTCGCCCGCAACATATTTTTCACTTGTTGCAGTTTCGTTTTTCATTTTCTTGTACCAAAACGTTTCCAGCTCCAGCTCCAGCTCCAGCTCACGTCGGTATGCTCGGCTTTTCTCCGTCCTCCTGCTCAAATGCTCGTGTATATGGGTGAGCGTGCGCTTTTTCTCTATGAAACAAAATTTGACTTGCTTGCGCTGGCCGTGCTGGCAACTCAGCCAATATGTGTGCTCCGGCCCGCATTTGTGTGCAACCGAACCCAACAAGATTCAATAGCCACCGGCGACCCATACACAATAAGATTAAAAATTACTTGGCTGCTGCTCCCATGCCCACTCCACTTGCCGCTGAATGTTGCTGCTGCCACGGTGTTCACTCGGTTCAGTTCGCTATGGCTGGCGTGACTCAGGGTCTCCCGACTCTCGCGCCTTCAGGAACAAGAAATTGTTTTGCTTTGAAGTAGCTCTAGTTCTGTGGCTGTGTTGCGCTGCTCTCTTCGGAGAGGCTCTCTTCCAATGTTTGTCTCTTGTTTGGTAATTTTTGTTTGGCTTACCACTTCTCCTGCTTACTTGGATCTGTGCAGTCTTCGGCGTTCGGCTGCGCCGCAGAATTTTTGTTTGGCATAGAAACTGGTTTCAAATTAAAATTATCGCTGGTCATTTTTCTTATGGTTAGTTGTCGTTTACTTTACCGCTGTTGCCTCTTTTTTTTGTTGTTTTCTTTTTTTTGGAATTTCGACCTGCGTATGCTTCCCTTTTGTATTGGCGTGAACTAATGTATGCGTATGCCTCCATGTATGTGATGAACACTGGACACCACATACTAACTTTATATGCTAGCGTGAGGCTCTTTCCATAGAGATTGTTGGTTCACAGGTAGCCGAAGCCTCTCTTATATATATATAGCATAGACATAATCAGCATATTTTGGGGGTGGCAGTACCTGGCAGCACAAAACAGTTGGTTGTTTTGAAGAAGTTCAAGTTTTTTTCCTAAGTCTTTTGTTTTATATGAAATGACATTGTGCGAAACGGGCTCATGTTGTTTGAATATAAACAAATGCTTAAACCAGCCAGGCTAGGCAGCCAGAAACGAAGAACCTCTGACTGACTCGTAAAACTGTCACTTAGTAAAAAGCGCATAAGAGTTTAGCCCGATTTTTTGTATGTTTATGAACTATTCTGGTCAGCATGCAGGCCGGTCTGGTCACATTCTTATCTTTGAGAAATATTACAATAACACGCAAAGTCCAGACCAGCCAGCGTAATAACGTGATGCTGTAGCTGCGATTGGTGCCCAAAAAGCGTGGCCAGAAAAAAAACAAAAAACAACAATAAAAATAGCTTTAGCCTGCTGGCCTCGGCCAGCCTGTACGAGCAGTAGTTGGTGTTGTTGGGTTATTGCAGTGCGGAATTCGAGCTTTCTGTTAATACTTTAATCGCGACTGCTGAGTATGTGGGCGCTGTGGTTGCAAAGCCGCTATTTAGCCGAGACTTGGTGCGAATTTACAATTTCTATTGCGAATGCAAGTGAACATGTGTGCTTGTTTTGCTCTTAAGGCCCTAACTTTGTTAGTTTATTTAGACTTGTTATATAAATACTAAAATTAATATGCTTAGAGAAGCGGATTGAAGTAAAATAAAATACTATTGTATATAAATGCTTTAAAGCTAAATAGAACGCTGGAATAAATGCGCCAGTAGTTCAGCTTCGCTTAGATCCATCTTATACTTTTGGACTATGTCCTGCACCTTTAGACGGCGTCGTACATGAGGTGGTTGGTAGCTGCAAAGAATATACAAAATTAGACAAACTCGCAAAGATCATATGGGAAACTTACTTATCATTATCCAGACGCCTACGTCGCGATATATTAAGCGCCGTTTGACGTACCAAATTACCCACAACGCGCCGACTAAGTACCATACCATCCACTAATGGCGTTGCAAAGCTCATCCGACCAGGTGGTCCCAGCAGTTTCACTCTCAGTAAACCAGACTGAAGAGAATGCAGGAAGATCACATGACAGTCGGCTGCCCTCGGCAACTGCATCGACTGGAGCTCTTCACCAGTGCGTGCGTACGCCAGCAGATCTTCGACGGGAAAGTTCAAATAATCCTCGAAGCTCTCCAGCCAGACAAGGAATATCTTTGCTGGCGCTTGGACGAGAAGAGTAGGCTTCGACACATTCCCCTTTCGTCGCGTGGGTGGTACTGGCTCCTTGTTTCTGGTATTTGTATCTAATTCTAAGCTGAGATTTCTTGGCTTGGATTTAAGAGAACCAGCATCGTCCCCACGTGTCCAGACATTGCTCATTGTGCTCTGATCACTGCAATTACTGGACAAGCTGCAGGCGTCCATTTCGCTATTGTAGCGCAGATTCCAAGCATTAGGAACTACAAAAGCAATCTCGGATGAGACATCCGCCCAGTAGAGCACATGCTGTGCACCATTGTAATTAGATTCGCTGGACACGTTTGATTGGTAACGGTCGGCCGGAATCGATGTACCCTTTAACGACCACGAATTATGTGCAAAGCCCGTCCAACCCGAGTGCTCGGCCACCTGAACCGGCCATCCCAACGTCTGCAGCATATTGGCAAAGTGTGAGTCATACGATTGATCTTCAGCCATGTTACCAATGATCTGTTGTGCACTAGTTTGACCCGCCTGTAGGTACAAAACAGATCAAGACAATGAAAAAAGAAAACGTCAAAAGAAATTATATAACCAATAAGTTCCTAAGAAACAATTTGGGTTCGGCTCAATTCGATCGTCAAATATGCCTGCATGATTCTCACCTTTACGTAGAAACAGTAAACAGTATCGTGCGTGCGGGCGCTGAGCTTATCCAGCTTATCCAAATCCATAGCAAAAGCAGTTGATTTTGTGTCAAGCACAATAAGGGGTCTTTGCGGTGGACCCAGTGACTCAATGGGGTTATGCGGATCGCGGATCTCGAAGCTAAGAAATCCGAAATGAGAGAGAAACAGGCGAGCTGCATGAAACTCATGGCAGACCGTGGGCGGTACACATTCCTGTGCATGCGACAGACTATCGATGCTATTGTCCGATTCCGCCCAAGCCAACTTTTCGTGTATACTTTGATTTTCAAGCATTGCTTCCAGCTCACTTATGACGTTGGCGCCATATTGCTCACGTATCTGATCAATCGTTGGTATTGAGTAATCGGCCACACAGGGCTGCACTTTGTCAACGCCTTCGGGAAAGTTTTTTTGCTCGCATTCGGGACGCTGCGTGATGTCGTTCATAGGAATGGGCCGGCCGGGATTGACGGCATGGTACTTTACACCCGACTTGCTGCGCGGCAGATGGCGCAGCTGCATTGTCCAAGCATGTCGGCCAAAGGGACCACGTATAAGAACTACGAGTGGATGGGCTGAAGTTAATTATGCAAATAGGTGAATAGATTTTACTTACGAGTGACAGTTGGTTGTGGATCTTGATCATTGCCCAAAGGCTCTTCCAGTAAAGCCAATATCGTCGAGTTTTCCGTAACAAAATATTTAAACTTTGAGATAGCTTGTTCCGCATTGCAAACGCCGACCGAACCGTCTCCAGTCGGGAGCGAATTGCAGTGCTTCATTAGAGCCAGTTCATCCAAGAGCGAAGAGATAGATTCGGGTCCACACTCACTTGGAAAGTAACCAACCTGTTCGAGTATGATGGTGAGAAGATTCTCTGCTGCATCGCGGACGCGCATCGAAGCTGGTTTTAGTTCTTTTTCATCTTTAAACTTAGGTAGATCCCCATTTTTGCTCTGGCTCTTTGTGCCTGATATGCCCAGCTCAACCACCTCAAGCACCGTCTGCAAGCAGTCTTTGTCCTGCAGGAGGTACGGATGCTGCATAAGCCAGGCTGCCGTGCACTGGAACGCCGCCACTATTGTGCTGTGCAGATCCTTACTGTGCGCCGGCGGAGGTCGTGAGCACTGATAGCAAATATAGTCGCATATCCACTTCACTGCGCGCTTGCACTCTAGAGCGTCTGTGGAGATTATCGTTATATTTTGACTTGGTTCGAATATTTTCACTAATGAATCTAATGTGTGTAAGTTCAGGTGGTTTTGATTTGGTTATTTACATAGTATCCGAAAGAAATTAAAACACAAAATGTACAAATATAATTATTAATTTTAACAATTACCGCCGCATGTAAGTGAATGAAAGGGTGTTGAGGTTTGAAAGTGTGCAAGTTTTAAAGGGTGTTAGGTAAAGAAACATATAAAAAGAAAAGAAAAAGAGAGATGTAGATGTTGTTAGTAGCATTAAATTACCATTTGTTAATTTCCTGGCTGCAATTTTGTGGTTATTAATAATTCAAAATGGTTGTGTATGTGTGGTCGGATTTTTAAACGAGAAACAAATAGGAAATAGAAATTTTCACACACAGATAAAGACATTAAAATATCGAAACATATACCGCGAGCCCTCAATACAATACCTGTTTCGCGTATGTGAAGCCGCGCCAGACCTGACAGTAACTCCAGAGCTGCAAGTGAAACATTTAAGTCGGTCTTCCACGAAGAGATTAACCGGTGACACACCAAATATGTGGCGCGTACAAACAAGGCATGTGCGTTGTCTGCAAAATTTAAAGGAACTCTCAATTAGATAATAATAGATCAAACATTTTAAAGTGATGATTCACTATAAAAAAGCTATCTAAAAAATACAAAAATTAAAATGATAAGACGCAAAATTTACCATATGATGCAACGCTCTCAAACTCGTGCGTAAACTCCACCGATATATCATCGGATATGGTCAGACTGGGATAATCGTGGGCCGAACCTGTATCACGCGAGCTCATTGCTGTGGTCTGTGCGCCAAAGCTGACCGTGCCGCTGGCTAGCGAAGCGGAACGGTCCGAGCCCGCTGTAAAAACAGCCCCCATGATATCGGCAACAAAAACAAAATGCAAAATAAATTAAAATAAATAAGTGAAAAATTACAACCGTAGGTCAAAGCCGCAATTTCAGGGTCCGCTTACCGGAACTTAGCAGGTTTTCTTCATGGTGTTGAACACCGGGGCCGCTCAAATGATCCGTGCCGCCAAGCTCAGTGTCCTCAAAGGTCACGGCATCCTGTACACAGAGCAGAAGTCCGCCTAATAACATATGCGTGTTTTGGGCGTCAGTTTCCACTTGTAGCGCGTTCATCAGAATGTTCATTAGTCGAGATTTGAGTTGTAAGAAGGTCAAAACCCTTTAGAAGATTACGTAAAAATTAGTGTTACACACTCTGGCCTATGCCCGGCTCGTTAGGTGAACTTACTTCTCGCCAGTGTCAGATGTCAAGTTTCGTATGGGCAGAGTATGATAATGCAGCGGAAGTACCATGATGGAGAGTAAAATGTTTATGGCCGAACGACGCAGCTCGGTCCGGTTGAATGCAATTGCCTGTGTCTTAAGCTTCAAGTCTTTGTCCGGCAGTACGATTTCTAACGCAGCTATGAAGCCAGGTAGTAGCACATTGATACCATCGAGGTCTAAGCGGAACAAATCTGCCGAATGGAGCAGAATGCTGGCCAATGTTTCATCGCACTCCTTGGACTCGGTTATCTTGAGGCACTGCTGCAGTGCCATATAAAAGCGCGCTAAATAGACTGGCAGAATTTCCTCGCCCGTTTTTTTTGCGCAGAAAATCTTGCAGAGGGTGCCAATTGCCTCGGCGCGGCCAGATTCATATTTATCAATGGTTAGCGTGGGCGGCAGCGATGTAGGATCGTTAAGGGAATTGGGTTGGGACAACGATATCGAGCCCTTGCGATTCTCCATTATCATAGACGACGGTCGCTTGCTAGCCTCGCATGCTTGTTCTGAAAACTCAGTTATTATTTTCACGATACCAACAGTAAGCGATCAGTTTGAGTACTCACTCTTCCGATTCTGCAGCCAAGTGTCGCCGCCTATGTGCGCTGCCTCGAACAGCCATTCACCAAATAAATGCAGAATGCTGTTGCACTTCGGTCGAGCCACAGACAGCGGCGGGCGTAGGTCGGTACCGATGGATGGCAGCGCTGTGGGTAAAAAGAAGAAGAGCGTGGGGAAACAGTTGGTGAGAGAAGCGGCAAGTGTGTGTTTTTTTTTTCACAACACTCACAATTGATGCTGCTGGCGGAGGGTGGACCTGAGGTCGGCGTCGTAGGGGCGGCGTTCGCTGAGCTGCGTGTTAGGCTGATAAGCGCGGTTTTGCTTAAGCCTGTAAAGCGTGTGGGAAGGGAAAGCGTGTGAGAAATTAGTAGATGAGCTGGTCGGGGAATGCTTAGCATACACACACATGCAGCGTGGTGATTTAATTGTGGGCGTACAATATATAAACTACGTACTTTTATATGGGAACGAATAATTAGAGTGGTACGAACGTATATACTTACTATGTATGCATTATGTGTGAGCGTAAAAAAAATAATAAAAAATAAATAATCAGGCAGTAATATGGGCGTAGCAAAAATGAAAACTGACGAATAAAATGCAACATGTGCGGGCTTTCAAAAACAAACGTCGACGTAGAGTGTCAATCGAGCAATCGTCTTGCAAAAGCACAAAGCTTAGTTAAAGTATAACATGCTTTAAATTAACAAAAGCGTAACGACACAACATGGGGTTCTATTAACAAAATCGCACCCTTCTGCTGCGTAATAGACGGCGCCACACTGAAACTCTTAGCCAGACGACGCTGCAAAGGTGGCGTTGGCGTCACGCTGTTGCTGCCATTCGCGACTGTCATGGGCATTGCCTCAGACGTGCTGAATGTGATGCAGCCGACAACGCCTGCTGAATGGCTGCCGCCAGCACTTATGCTGCCCACTGGACCTGGGGGAGCGATATGGCAATAGTTGGTTGGAGAAGCGCTACCATGCTGCCCCTGAGGCTGTGCCGCCTGCTGTTGTTGTTGCTGTTGCTGATGTTGGTGGTGGTGGTGATGATGACCCATGATGGCGTTTAAGGCAGAGCTTGCCGAACTGCTGACAAAGTTATCGCGGAGAAAACTACCAGCACCATGTAAATGTAAATGCGGATAGTGGTGATGATGATGCGGCTGATGGGACTGAGTTGCCCCTAATTGCTGCATGCTAATGTTTGAAACGCTGCTCGAGTGTATGAACTGTTGTAGCGTGGATGAGGTAGCCTCGTTTAAAGAGTGGCGTATCTCAAGCAGATTTGTGACGACGTTGTCCTGCTGGTTAGGCGGTGGCTGATAAATGCCTGTGTGGCGGGAGCGACCAAAAATTGGTTTTAAAGATGGTTGTAGAAGCGAGAAATTAGGGGGAACAGTACTATGCTCACTATCACACATAAACTATATAGGAAAGCTCGACGACATGTCCAAGAATCTCTTACCTAAGAAGGCATCAACTTGGCTGGAAATACCCCTGATTGCATTCAAAAAGATTTGTGGTAACATTTGAAGGCAAGGATGCTGATGTGTCTCAGCGCCTTTCTCGTGCGTTAGAGCCCATTGTACGAAGTGCGACGATTTACTGATAATGTGCGGCGAGCAGAGAGCAGTGGGATTGCCAATCATGCGCAAAAACCGATACCAAGTCTGTGCTACACAGTCGTTGGTCATGCCTGCAGGTATAAGCTGACCGTCCTCGTCGCCAGCTAAAAAGAAAACCATAAATGTATTTGATTCATAACCATCTATAAAAAATGCTGCTACTGACCATTTTTGAGCTGTGTAAAATCAGGGCCGTAGCTAAACTCCAACAGGCGCGCGGTTAGGGCCAAGTTCACACGGTTCCACTGATCAACAAGTGCAATTCGATGACGCCACATGGCACACGACTCTTGCAAGGTCTTCCACAGTGAGGGCGATGGAAAACAGCGGACACATGCCAAAAGCCAAACCTCGAAGAGCACAGAGAGCACGCGTTCACACAATTGATCGCCAACATCATCCTTGACGGTCGGCGGCGCCAGCAATATCTCATTTATGGCCAACAAAAACAGCAGTAGCGTATCCCAGGTCTCTCGATCCATGTGCTGCGAGATTTGAGCTGTTTGTTGAAGAGTGCGCAACACGCGATGACATAGCACTGCCTGACGCTTAATGGTATCAGAGCCTATAATAAATAACCATACACATTAGAGCGTTAACTATGGCCGTTCAAATTGTATCCAAGGAGCACCTACCAAGCTTCGTTTGGTATAAAAATGGCAAGACTTGAAATTTAGAATGCAACAATTACAAATCGCAGGTAAATATGTCTATATGCGTTTATGAATGTTATTCGACAAGTGGCTAAACGTGAAACAGCATTGAGCGGCTTTCATACTTACTTTCTCCCTGCCGTGGAACGAATAGGTTGTGGAAATGATTGATTATCTGCCTCGCATAAAGATTTGCATCTTCACAAATGGGCTTGGGAACACTGATTCGTGGCTGTGGGTGCAGGGCCGTCAACCATTCGCAGTAAACATTGACACAGTCTTTGATGGTCTCATGCTCCTGCAGCGGCAACGAAAGGCCAAAACAAATGACGTCCATACACCATCTAACCTGTTGTGGGAGCGAGGATAGTAGCTTGCAGTTGTGGGCGAATTCAATTTTTAGTCAGACATACCTCCTCATCCTTCACCAAGTGGCTGGGCTCCGCGTTCTGTGTTATGCCCAAATTGGTGCCCAGTTGTTTTACAACTGAAATGACCACTTCTCGACCCGCAGACGCTGGAAACTTGTTTAGAACGCTGAAACATTGCGCTCCACAACTGTTGGCAGTAATCTGCGCCGACAGCGATGCCCACTCAGAGTACATATTTTGTTGATTGCTATACGCAGAATTTTCACTTTTTTTAAACAGGTACTAAAATCAAGGTATCAAAGTGTAGAGATGCACCTTGGCATAATTCATTACAATTATAGCAATCTCTTGATATAGAGTGCTTAATTAATTGTGAATCCGAATATATTTTCAGTTGGCAGCAATTGTTGAATTTCCTTGAATATTCTGTTTGGTTTTTTTCTTTCTTAGTAAACAAATAAGTGTTCATCAGCGACAAGCGGACAGTGCTGTAAAACACGTAGTGTTTCTAGAGATATTTTCGAGCACTTGTGTGGGAATTTAAAAATGCCGCCTCATGAGTTTTTAACAATAGATTGTGCGTTTATTTATTAATGTACATGGGGCGTCCACAATTTTTTATGGGGTAACCAAAGAAAAATACAAATTTTTAAGATTGAAAGATTTGTAGTATGATTTCTACTTTAATGCGAGATAGCTGTCACGTTGCATCCCAAGATAAGCATATCCAGATAAGCGCACCTGAGGCAAATAACATTAAAACGATATGTACGTACTTCTCACACTGAATTTATTTCAGTAGCCAATGCTATGGACCACCGTTGGCCCAAAAACAAACAAAATACACATACATACATATATAAATTACTGCTAGAATATGTTCGTAACTACGACGGGGGCGATTCACCGTTGACTATGTATACTGAAACTGATTTTTTGCTGCATATATGTGTGTATGTACGCTAGTTCTTGCATACATAGACAAGTATTATTATGTATTATTATAACTGCCGTTAAAATTGTTCTAACGCACATGCCTGGATGCACGGCTCTATCTAATCCTGTTTCTTTTGTGCGGCTGTCTTTTTGGTCGGCGTCGAATCTGCCGTCGCTTTAGTGGCTGTGGCACTGCCGGCACTGGGCGATGCTTCTATAGCGCCTGCCGGCGTGGCGCTGGCGTCGCCTTCGAGTCGTTTGCTTGCAGCCTGCTCCTCCATTTCGCCAGAGAAGCCATACTCATTTACGCGCTTCAGGTCGACGCGGTACTGCCAGCGCTGATAAAGGAATACAAAGAAGATAATGTCGTCTCGGAAGCAGCCGATGCGGTACATGGTGGGCATTTTTATAACGAATGCGAATATGTCGTCGATGAATGTGTTGAGGAATTTATAGGTCATCATTCGCCACGGCAAATGGGCAACTGACTTTAGCTTGTAGTTAATGAATAGCTGCGGTGTCATCAGAATGAATCCAAAGGTCAGCAGGTAGCTGTAAAGCATGTTCAACACAAAGGAGTACCAGCCCTTGTGCTCATTGTAGATCAGGGAATAGATAAAGTAGCCCACAAGCAATGGGAAACATGCCCAGCCCAGGTACTTAAATGCCAATCTGTCGTACTCTTTGGTGGAGCTCTCCGAGTACGAGCCCTTATCGTTGAAACTGATGCGCGGAAAGATGCCTAGCAGTTTTTGCTGGTTGTTGTAGTTAACATCGACCACTTTGTGTATTTTCCATACCTCAATGCCGAGACCCACAAAGCAGGAGATGCGTATCATGAAGTTCGTCTCGTTGTCAAGCACATAAAGCAAGATGATGAGCGATTGAAACACGCCGAAGAACACTGATCTCACTGAGAGTCCCTCTAGTGATTGCCGATTGTTCCAGAACTGTATGTCATTCTTGAAGGCCAGCAGCTCGAACACAGAATGGAGTATGGAAACGGCCACTGTGATTCCGAGTAGGTAGATGTTTGTGTCTAGAAGAGTTTCCTTCAGCGAGTCTTGGTCCTCGTCTGACTCTTCAGCCGCACCGGCTGCCATAATTTCTCCCAGCACATTGCCAGCCCACTTACTTTTCATTTGCTTAGCGGCATAAAGCTGCCACTTGAACATGCCCAATGGCTGAAAGGTCAAATGCAGATCCAGCTCTGGCGTTGACTCATTGATAGGAAAGTATTCGCGCTGCAGGTTCCAGTAGTCGTTGACGAACACAATCGGCAGATACGTTTTACCGCCATCCACGAACTTCACATATTCATCGAGCGGCGAAGGCACGCTACCTTGGGCCCAATTTGTCTGATCCACCACAAGATTAACGGTCAAGTTTGGATGCCAATGCGATACGATCTGATCCTTGAGATTTGCGTGCTTCAGCTCGTGCTCCAGCTTTTCCTTCTCGCTAGCCAATAGGTTGTAGTTGCGATTTACACGCAACTTCTTAAACTTATTGAGCTGATGCTGCTGATGGCCCATGTGGCCATGTCTTGAGTATTTAGGCGACTGTGGATCTGGGCTTTCGCCAGCGCGCGTTACAAATGCGTGCAGAAACACACTGCCGTTGTTTAGCAAATGGGGGCTGGCTTTTATCTTGAGGTTGTGTGTGTAAATACCGTCACCTGTAGGTCCCGAGACCCAGTCACCATAGGTTAGATCCTCTTGCAGCCAGAGAAGATTGGCTTTTTGTTGGAAGTTTACCACGTCCGGCTGCTCCGAGAGCCACACATGTAAATCAAAATCTGTGCCATTCTCGAAATAGTTCCAGGCGGTTATTTTGGGACCCGCATTGGCGACTGACTGCTCTTGATTAGTGTTCGACTGTGGCCTCCGGAAGAAGGAACTTACAAAGTAAATTATAAGCGCCCGCAGAATTAGTGATTTCGTCATTGCGAAAAAAGATTCCGCTCGTGATGGCTGCTGCTGCTGCTGTTGACCCTCGGCACCAGCCACCTACATTTTGGAATTGGGGATGTACAGAGTGAAGAATTCAATTATATTAATCAACATACCGGCGCAGCTCCAGCCGCCGGCATAAGGCCATCATTGTTCGACATGTCGTGTACGTGTACTTAACGGAATAAATACACGTTTTTTTTACACAACTTTTCCGTGGTTGCCTAGATTTTGATGAATTGAAAATGTTATTTAACATAACAGCCACAATAAACGAATAAAAGCCGAGCTGTAAATAACATACTGAAAATAATTAATGCCTGGAATATGTTATTTAACATAACAATGACTATAATATTAGTGTTGCTGTTACTGCCAGAAAAACTATCGAATGAGTCCATTTAACAGATTCAAAACTTATTAACAGCAGCGTTTTATAATTATCGAAACACTGGATATGAAATAAGTACTAAGAAAAACATTCAGATTTTTGTCTGAGTATTAAGAGAGAGGCTTAAAATACAACACATAAGCAATAAAAGTTTTGTTGTTGGCCTGTCAAGTGACAAATTATATATATTTGTTAATAAATTTATATCGATAGCTCTGCGACAGGCATCCAAATGCTGATTGATACAAAAGCACGACAGTGTTGTTCCATTTACTAATTTTAATAACATATGTGCTTGTTGTGTACACACTCTTTTCTTTTGTGAGTTAGCATTTGGTTGCACGTTTCTCTTGGTAAGTTGCTGAAAAGAACTTAAAAGAAATAATAAAAAGTGCGGCGTTTCCCTTGGCTGTGGTCTTGTAGTCTAATAACAGTTAGATTGCAACGTTATTCCATGTGTTCATTGTCGGATGGACACAAATAATACGCATACCAGTCGCCACTTGTTACTATGTCGTACCTAACCTCATGTCAGCCATGAGACAACGTCGCACTGCAAACTGGCAAAATACAAATTTGAGGCATTCGAGTGAATTGTCAATGGATTCTAATGATTTTGATTGAAATACATCTTGCGCTTGCAGCAACGCTTGGAAAATGCAAATCTTTGTGAAAACCCTCACCGGCAAGACCATCACCTTGGAGGTCGAGCCCTCTGACACCATCGAGAATGTCAAGGCTAAAATCCAAGACAAAGAAGGTATTCCACCAGATCAGCAGCGTCTGATCTTTGCCGGCAAGCAGCTGGAGGATGGCCGCACTCTCTCGGACTACAACATTCAGAAGGAGTCGACTTTGCACTTGGTGCTGCGTCTGCGTGGTGGTATCATTGAGCCTTCGCTTCGCATTCTCGCCCAGAAGTACAACTGCGACAAAATGATTTGCCGCAAGTGCTATGCTCGTCTGCACCCACGTGCTACCAACTGCCGCAAGAAGAAGTGCGGACACACCAACAACTTGCGCCCCAAGAAGAAGTTGAAGTAGACGCTTCTTTCTCCGAGGTGGTTAAAGCTGCTGTGCGCTTTCGAAAAAAAAACTGTTTAGTAAATATAAATTTGTAATATAATCAAATACGATTAAGAGCGAAATGTATTTACTTGCTGTAAGACGCACCGTACATGCCCATGTGTCTGTTTTGTTGAGTGATATCGAGAGGCCGGGACCAGGAACTAATTCTGGGATTGCGATACAGAAAATCTTTAGTGCAGTGCATTTTGTAACTAGAATTAATACACAATGTGCTTGCTAGTCGAAACTGGCTATCAAAAAGGCTTCTAGGCTTGGACTGTATCTACATTCAACATGGAAACATCTTTTTGGATACAAAATTGTACACCTTAAGATACTTTGCAGTTTCTCTGTTGGTAACTGATGAGGAACCAGTCCACTATTGCCTAGAAGTTCTGGTGAGTTATTAAGAATCCCTAATAAGAAGGCGCAAATTAAGTTAGCGTTAGTTAAATTAATTGTCTGGCCTGGTTTAAATGTATAGCCTTTCGAAGGAGGCGTCTCCGAAGCCAAGTATCTATATTCTTGGTTAAATTAACTCAATATTCGCCGTGTCTGGCTTGCCTAAAATGCAAAGACCTTAGCAGCAGTCATCTACGAGCTCAAGTATGTATTTTTAAGGCCAGCATCGATTCCCGAGTCGTCTGTCCGCTCGTCTCTATAATCGCGTTCATCTCAAAAATTTGAACGTTGGTGAGAACCATTTATCTCAACTCAAGTTTGTTTTGTCGTGAAATGTGTAACGCATAGAAGGAGATATCTCCGACCCCATAAAGTATATATATTCCTGATCAGTATCAGCAGCCGATTCGATAGAGCCATGTCCGTCTGTTTGTCTGTCCCTCTGTTCGTCTATCCGTTTGTCTGATTCTATGCGAACTAGTCTCAGTTTTAAAGCTATTGTCATGAAACTTTGCAGAAGTGCCTCTTTCTGTTGCATATAGCTGCTATATCATATAGCTGCCATAGGAACGATCGGTCGAAAAGTAGGTTCTTGTATGAAAACATTTTTGTTTATCAGGATATCTTGACCAAACTCGGCATTTATTCGTTTTAGTATGCCCCTCATATATATGCAAAATCGTATC